TTTTTTTAACGGAAACGGTGGTGCGTTGAACACTGTTCTGATGACGCAAGAGTTGCAGCTATGGCGGCTGAGAAGGCCATTCTTTGTGTTCTTTTTGAAGAATTTTCGGAGCCTGATGAAATCGGTATAAATACGTGTTTAATACTGCAAAATACTCTCGATGTTACAGTCACTGCCCTTGCTAAAAAGGTGCTATTGTCCGGTGAGGTCCGGTTGGGAAGTTACTGAACGATATCATATCGCATAATCTTATTAACTGTTTATCTCCTGAAAGCCAGTCCCGCCGTGCAGTCAATTACACTGGTTAAGGTTAGGGTCAGGTGTGGGGTAGGTTTAGGGGTTAGCATTTTTTGTAGCATAATGTAGGAAATCAACACTGTGATTGACACAACCAATAAAATCTTTAGAATCAGCTGTGGGGCGGAGTTTGCACTGAAGTGTCGTCATCAACGCTCCTGCAGTCGCTCTGAAAAAGCTGCGCCAGCCGGCTGCTCTCGAAACACTATCGCGGTACTTTGATGCCACACGTGACAGTGACGTGGCGTCGGCGCCGGTTCAAGTCGGACAAAATTTCTAACCGGCATGCACTGCTTCAAGTCAGCCGCCGATCGGTTTGCGCGGCGCCGCATGAAGTCGAAGCACCTAATGGGAGGAAGCCACGCCCTATTTTGGAGCTCCCACCCCGTTTTGGAGTTCCCGCCCCCATTTGGAGATCTCCGGGCTGCAGTTATACCCTCCTCGCTGATTGGGCTGACATGTTTGACACACGCACCAAACAAGAGGAAACCTATCTCAAACCAGGAAGCATGTCGTTCAACCCGGAAACCGTAGCAAAACGGTGCACAGTGCACACCGGTTTGAGCTTGAACTTGCCCCAGGCGTCTGTCAGCAACTCGAACCTGTTCATCCTCACAAATAAGTAGAAAACATGTTCCCTGGCTTCAAGCCCACAGGAGCGCAGGTCTGAGGTCAGCGGGTCACGTGCCTGATGAACGTTACAGGTGTAGCGCGCGGTTTTCTGACGCTTCTCCGCTCCATCCTCCATTACTGCAGCAGCCGGACGAGGAAGTCAACTTTCCAATTTAGCAAACGCAAAGATGACAGGAAACCGCGCAATTTAGTGCAGATGAGGGGTAATTACCTCTAAAACCAGCGCCATTTCATATGAAGCTCAAGCCATCATAATGAGAGCGATGCAGTCATTACTGCTAATTAGAGGAATTAGTAACATCATTTAACAAACGCACAAATAATGTTTAGGATATTGAAGCAGCAGCGAAGCCATTAGACAGAAGCAAAGCTTTCTAATGCAATAATTGCATGTTCTATACAATCTCTGGAATAGATAAGAGTGTGTGTGTGTGAGAGTGTGTGTGTGAGTGCGTGTGTGAGAGAGAGAGTGTGTGTGTGTGTGTGTGTGTGTGAGAGAGAGAGTGTGTGTGTGTGTGTGTGCGTGTGAGAGAGAGAGTGTGTGTGTGTGTGTGTGCGTGTGAGAGAGAGAGTGTGTGTGTGAGTGTGAGAGTGTGTGTGTGTGAGTGTGAGAGTGTTAGAGAGTGTGTGTGTGAGTGTATGTGTGAGAGAGAGAGTGTTAGAGAGTGTGTGTGTGAGTGTGAG